GGGTGAGGCAGTCGTTCGCCAGCCATTAGATGGCTGCTCACAGCGGCTCACACTGGCTGCCGGCCACTCACTGCAGCTCCACTGTAGCCTACTCTGTTGCCAGTGACTCACAGCAGCCCAGCTCCAGGTCGAGCTGTTGTTCACATCTTAGCTGTAGACGGCGCAGTGTCACTGGCCCTAATGTGGGATCTGAACCGGGGCCCTGCTGCTCAGAGCTGGCATCCCAAGCCAACTCTTAACTAATGTGCCACTCGGCTGGCCCATGAAATCTTTTAAATATTCAGTTATAGAAGCAGGAATTCTTACAGTCGCCACTGTGTATTTTCTCATACTTAAGGCAAGAATATTAAACATAGCTAATGATTTTGGAATGACAATGTAGATTTGGTGTTACTCCAACTAAAGGAAAGTTGTTTACACTTTTGAGAACATTTGATAAGAAAGTTGTCTTTTTTTTTTTAACTATAAGTCAGTAAATCTGAATGCCTTTTGTATTAGTTTTCTATTGCTGCCAAAACAAATTACCACACACTTAGTGGCTTAAAACAACAAAAGTTTATCATGGTTTTGTAGATCAGAAGTCCAGTATGGGTCTCACCAGACTAAAGTCAGTTTGTCAGGATGTATTCCTTTCTGGAGGTTCTGGGGGAATTAATTTTCTGCTTATTCTGGTTATTGGCAGAATTCACATCCTTGAGTTTGCAGAACCAAAATACCTGTTTCCTTGCTTCCTATAAATGGGGACTATTCCCAGTTTCAAGACCACAACATTCCTTAGTTCATGGCCTCAGCATGTCATCTTCAAATGCAGCAAAGACATGTCGAATCTCTTTGATCTCCTGTTTTGCCTTTCTCTTTTACTTTTTAAGGACTCACATGTTTAGATGAGGTCCATCCAGATAATGTAGGGTCATCTCATTATTTTATGGTCTAAATCTTTATCATAGCTTTAAAATCCCTTTTGCCAAGTAAGTTAACATATTCACAAGTTCCAGGGAACCAGGGCGTGGACATCTTTGAGGACCAGTTTTCTGCCTGCCACGCCTTTATATCTGCTCTCTTTTCCCAGCGTGCCAACTGTACCTGCTGTATGATCCCAGATAAACATCTTGGCCTTACTTTCTTCATTTGTGAAATTAGGAATTTCAACCCATTGAATATAAAATTGCTTCCACTTTTAACATTCTAGATGTACATGAATCCTTACAATGAAGAGAAGCATAGAAAAATGAACCTAATGATCAATGTGGATATTATTGTTATTTTCTATTCATGGCTTTTCCTGGAGTGTAGATTTCCTATAATCCTGACTAACTCCTTCCTTCTCACACTTGGTAATCTTCTTTGAAGGCAGTCAATCTCTACAAAAGTTGACTTCTTCAGAAAGAAATTGACTTACCTCCTCAAAACTGTAATAACTGGTCCCTCGAGATGTTTTTATCTACTTATTTACTTTACAGCTTGGATATAGCTTTCAGCAAATCTTTGCTACATTCTTGCTTTTGCTTTATTGATTTGGAGTAAAAGAAATTGTTTTCCTTTCAATTTAGTTTTTTTCATAAGTCAGAATCTACCTGTGCCTAAGCATAATAAATGTTTCCTAAGTTTTAAAAGAGATAATATCTAACTTAGTATTAAGGAAATATATTAATTAACAATTTTTTATTTGTACCACAAAACTAACTTCTTTTAAGTCTTAATTTGCTCATGTACAAAGTGGAGAAAGTGTCAATACCTTACTTCTGCAGTTGAAAAATTAAAAAAGAAAATTCTGGGGAAGTACTTAACACCTAACATTTAGCCAGTACTCAATAGATGTAAACCAAGAATATGATTTTTATAAAAGGAATAGCAGGGGTGGAAGTGAATAATTCATCCCAGTTATCCCAAACCTTCTCAGTGTTAGAACTGAAAGTCCAACCTCCTGGGGAGTCTTTCAGCCTCAGGAAAGCCCAGATGGTTGATGTAGTAGTTTAGAAACAGAGCTAAATATAAATATGGGCCCTGCTTTCTATAAGATATGTGATCTAAAAGAAATTATTTAATCTTTGAGTTGCAATTTCTTTATCTGAAAATATATATGAGGACTAAATAAGTAAGAGCAGAGTCTAAACAAAATACCTGCAACTGTACCAAAAATTATAGGGCCCATGTTCCTCCTGCTTAAACCATCTTTACTGACTTTTTTCTGCTTAGATATTTCAGCACAATAGGGGTTGCCTCATATGAAAAGGTCCTTCAAGATCTGTCTATAAGCTGCCCTTCCAGACATGTATGCCGATATGTGTCTTCCTCTTATCAGCAATGATAATAATATTGACAAAGATGATAATGATGATAACAGCTAATGCTTATCTAGTGTTCTCTGCTTACCAAGAACAACTCTAAAGACTTTATAAGAACTTAAACCGGAGTCTCAAAACTACTACTCACTATTTCCTGTACACAGGATTCTCATGTATACTATTCAGATGATGCCCATGCTATTACCAGTGATTGCAAATTCTTCCTGTCTTTAAGACCCTTCTTCCTTCCTTTAAGGTCCTGCCTGAATGTCCCTTCTATGATATCTTCCCAGAATCCACTGGACAGGAGTTTCTCACTTGCCCTTCACTGACCCGCAAACAATTTACTCATGATGTTGAACTCCCTACCATGCTACTTTTTGCATTATATTAAACTTTTTTGTTAATGCATCTGTATCCTTCACCAAAAAAAGAGCTCCTTATATTTCTAGCACCAAGCACAGGACTGGGCTGGTTGGTTGGTTGGTTTGTGAAATAAATGGAAGATCCACTGATTTACTTAACACTAAAAGATTCCCTAAAGAATGTAAGTAATCAATATCTGTTTTTCAGACTATCTGTGGAAAATTGTGAAAGCTGATTTACTGCGTAGAAATCCAAGTGGCTTTACAAACTATGGAGCTTAAGATTAAATCATTTAGAACGCATGTCTTTCCCACGAAATAAGAGAATAATACAGTAGAAAGGGGGCAGGTGCCTGTTGTTGAAATATGTCGTTTAAAATCAGAAGGGAGCGGATGTTACAGATAAGACCGCTAAATCCTGCATACATAGGTTTATCTAAATGGTGTACTCTTTTCTGTGACTTGTAGTGCTTTCTGCTTGGACTTGATTCAGCAGGTCAAATGGGTTTTCCAGATTCCTATGAGATTTGAAATGGCCAGATTACGCAGACTCTGATCTGTGGCCTTAACTATTCTCCTGGTCGTAAAGAGCTGAAATATGCATAACTGACACCTAATATTTAATTGGATCTGGGTTACTATCATTTCAGATTGGAGAAGCTTGCTTGTCCTCAAATTCTAACTTGAAAATGAAAATAATACAAATGGTCACTCAGACTGATAAACCATGGGGATAACTTGACACCATTTTTGCCTAGATTGTTAAAAAAATTCTAATATCATATAAAATTCTTTCCTACAGGGCTTTCAGATAACTGATTTTCATGGTTATACTTGCCAAATATTAAGATACATAGTTGAAAAATTGCAAACTTAAAATGAATCCAAGTATGAATTTGAACAATCAGGATGCTAGCATTTCTCACAATTGCTCTGGTTTACCACCTCTTCCGTTTTAATATTTGAAGTCGTTTTTGTTTTTTTTTTCAGACTCCTTTTTTTTAATTTGCCTATCGTGGTCGATTTTCCCATTAAATTGTATATTTTATAGTAGTTTTGCCTCTTCTGCAATTGATAGTTCAAGACATGGGGTAGCATTCGTTTTATGCATAGTTTTTAACATGGCTTTTCAGTTAACAACAGATCCCTGTCTCCTGGGTTATCGTAATTGTCATTCAGCAGGTCAAATGGGTTTTCCAGATTCCCGCGAGATTTGAAATGACCTGATTACACAGACCTCCTCAAGTGCATACTTGTTAATGCCAATTTGGGAAACTGGTGATAGCACACAACATGTGAGAAGGTCCCAGAATGGGCCGAGAGCTCTTTGGCAGAATCATATCTAAGTGAAAATGCAGTTCAAAAATTACCTTGAGACCCTTGCATTGTACTCTGTGTTGTGGTTTTATGATACTTGATATACAGAACATGGGCTGGTGCATGATAAAAAGTCTGAATGCCAGTTCACTGTGACACATCCAGAAACAAGAGTCTTGCTAAGAGACTTACTTATTTCCTCCAGAGTTTATTTCCTGCTGTGTAAATTTATCACCAGAGTTAAAGAAATAAGTCAGGTGCCACACCGCCTAAAATGATGAACCTTTTACGTTTTTTTTTTTTAAATGTACACTGAAAATATTTTGTCAGGACCCCATCACTTGTCTCCCTGCCTCTGTGCCTCTCAGAGGAAAGGATGTCATGCTTTAGCTGCTCTGCATTTGAATTTATTCACAATTCCTTTTTTTTTTTTTATAGCCTTTCTGGAGACAATGTATGTGTGTGAATCATTAGCATTATTATTATTTCAGTCACAGTCAGATTACATATCCACACTTAGCAAAGGGGCTTGGGTAGATTTCATTATTCATTCAGAATAAATTCCTACCCTAATATAAATGTTGCTCAGGATAGAGCTTTGAAATGGATCCTGATTCTTTAAATTCTTTCCTGTCTGTTTCAGGAAATAGTGAGATCCTGTTGATAGTAAAGTACAATGTGTCTAAAGTTCACTTCTAAACACTCTGCTCTTTGCAGAGAAAGTCATCTGCATTCTCTTTATAATTCAGAGCCACAAGAGATCGGTCTAATCTTGGAGATCTGATCCAGTATCATTTAGGAAAAAAGAAAAAAAAATCTTTGATAATAATTCTCCCATTCAGATTAGTGAGAGCAGTAAAGCTTTACAGCTTCTGTCGTCTTAAAAAGATATCCCGAGACAGGGGAATAAGGACTTGGATTATGTCTTGGAAGATTTAGTTGTTTGTAAAAATAAAATGATTAGTGCAGTTATTATTTGAGTTTTTAATCAACGAAAGCAAATGGCATCTGTTTGTTATCATTCCCCCTACAGAAGACAAAGGCTCAGGTCCCAATGGTGCTGACTGCTGGTCCCAAGTGGCTACTGGATGTGACTTGGCAAGGAGTTGAAGACAACAAAAACAACTGCATTGTGTACAGCAAAGGTAAACGCAAGATCATTTCCCTCTCTCTTTGGAAGTATTGAAACCTGAGCTTTGCAAAATAGCACCAAACGAGCTGCCATGGGAGGACAAAGTACAATTTGATCCTCTCTCTTCCTTATTCTCTTATGAATCTCTCTAACCTGTATTTACAGCAGAGCCTACTGTTTTCTTTTCTTTGCAACATAAAACAAAAATTATTATTAATTACTTAGTGCCGTACACATTTTCCTAAACTCTGTACGTGTTTGAGTGGCCCGACGAGTCCCTTTCTTAGTTCTATCGATAGTTGGTTGGATAAAATCTCAGATTCCTCTCTTATGCATTATCTATCAAAAAGTCACTTCCTTGTGAAATTTAGCAATTGGAGTCAAGGTGCATGCTCCGGGAGGCACTATATTCCAGCCAGTTTCTTGAAATCACTCCTGATGTGAGGATAGCTGAAAATGAAACCATTGCAAAGACTGAGAATTCTTCCCCATGGTGATTTTTGAAGGGCAGGAGGCACACGGGAAAGAGGAAGCGATGGCTTGCAGAGTTTTGCCTTTGATTTGCTCAATGTGACATCAGCCTAGACTGCGTCATATAGCTATGCCTTGGCTCCAAAGGACACGCTGCTTTGTGATGGCACATCATGGGACTGGCTCCCCAAAACACAACCCCCTCCTCGTGTGTGGTGTGGTTTGGGGTACTTTGCTCCATGTTCAAGTTATGGACCCGAGCTCTGTACTTTTACAGTGAAATCCCTAATCTCTCGTCTTCGTAAATATTGCAGAAACCTTGTGCTTCTCATGTTTAATTTCTTTTAGCTTTCGTTTTTAACCAACTAGACCTACTGAGATCAAAGATTTATTTGCACATTGAACCTAGGAAACATAAAAGCATACAAGGGAACAAGCAAATAAGCACCCCTCTCAATGTATTAACATATAAAACACTAATCATAACATCAAAGACTCTTAAAAACTTGCTAGAAACAATTACAACTTGTTCCTATAATCATTACAATTTGTACACTTATAAGAGGATTGCCTTTAAACTACCGTAAGCCTTTGAAAGTTGAAACACCGGAAAGAGGGAATTTGCAAGCTATAAAAACAATCTGCACACCAGGATCTGATTATATTCCTTTTCCTTCTCTAATTGCTGGTCCCGTATCCACTCATTTTCTAACCCCAAATACCTGTGGTATGCTGGTGGGAGACTTTAGCTGGAAAGGAAGTTAGGTTTTCCCAGGATATGCCAATATGATCTATCAAAGTGGAAAGAAATGGTATCGTGAACTCATCAGTCAGAATGCAAAACTACAAAAGATGCCTTGGAATATAGGGTCAATCACTGGGAATAAATTGATTGCTGTGCAATATCTTCCCTTCATGATGGCAATATAATATAGAGGAACCAAGGGAGTAGCTGTTCTCCTATCATGATCCAAAACCATTTCGTTTGTGAATCAGGCATTCTTTTAGAAGAGATGATTGTTACACCGTTATGGAAGGCAAATAATAACTAAACTGTAGTTCCATGTTCATTGGAGTACTTTAAGTTCAACATGTTTATATTTTTGTATTATGGTTGGATATACTTTAAGCCTTTGGGCTATAAATTTAGAGTAATTTATAGAAGCTTATTAATTAATTAACCCATGAAGTACATGGTGTGCCCAACTATGCGCTAGCCTTGTATGTGGATAATAATAGCCACCATTTATTAAGCACCCCGAATCCTCTCTCTTGATACTCCCACCCCAAATTGTATGTTCTTCTCTCATTGCTCTTCATTGCCTCATTTTATGTGTTTAGGAAAAGAGTAAGTAAAAAGTAAGCTATTATTGCCTGCCTTTCCAAATCTCCTCTATATTTACTGAGGGCAAGGACTGTGTCTTAGTCACCTTTCTGTCTTTGGTTTGGCATGTTGCCGCCACAAAAATGGACTAAATAAACATTGATTGGTTGACCAGATAAACAAAATGAGGAATGATTGCCAGAAACTGTAATGGACGCTTCACATACTGTGATGATAAACCATTTGCATTCCTGCCATTGAATAGTTTATAACCTACAAAAGGCTATTTGTTATTGTTCAAATTCCTGGAACAGTTGGTATTGTCGTTCAAATAACAGGGAATGCAATAATGACTATATATGCATTATTTCATTTCATTGTCATTTAAAATCTCCTAGAAGGTAATTAATATACTACCTCACTTTAACAAGGTGAACTTGAGAGGTAGGTTAAGTAGTTCGCCACGGTCACACAGCTGATGTGCACTGGTTGAAGCAGAGTTCACACACACACATCTGTCTAACTTAGGCTCTAAGTTACACATATCAGAATACCGTTCTCCCTGCATTAGCTTTCAAACAGCTCAGTGAGATAAGTAGTGTTTTTCTCATTTTACACAATTTCTAATTGTGACTTGGAGAGATTAGAATGGTTGTCCTTGGTCATGGAGAGCTAACAATGGAGCCAAAGTTGAATCCGGGACTTGACGATTCCAAAGCCTGTACGCTTTGTACTCCTGTGTGACTCTGCCTTTCTACTTGCCACTGTTGCATGATGAGTAAATCCTCTCAAACCACACAGACCTTTATGCCCAGAAATCACGAAGAGTATATATTATAGTGTGGAACTTTCCAAAGTATGTGTGTGTGTGTGTGTGTGTGTGTGTGTGTGTCGGGAGTAGGAGAATTCATCTGCTCATATAACTGAGAATCCAGGGAAATTCTGGATTTAAGGAACATCTTAGTCCAGGTGTTCAAGCTTTGTCCTCAGTCTGTCTCTACCTTATGCCCCTCGTTCCTTTGCTGGGTTTCATTCTCAGAAAGAGCCTCCTCAGGTGGCAGGGTGCTCCCGACTTGCTCTCCCAGCAGAACAGTTGCAGTGAAAAGAGAGTTTTCCTGGGTTTTGATTGGGGCACATCACATACCAATCCCTGAACCAAGGAATCACTGGGACTCCCGCTGGCTGACTACAGTCATCCTTGGGGCCAAAAGAGTAGAATTAACTCCACATGTGCTACTAGGTTGGAGGAGAAATAGTTCCCCAAATGAGACCAAAGAGCTTTGTCAGACACACCAAAAGAATGGTTGCTTGCAGGGCTAACATCCATGCACCCAGATGCAGCACACGATTCCTAAGGCCCTAAGAACCTCTCACTGAAGATGAAAAATAAATTCTTTAATGTCATATTTATATTTCCTTATTTTGTTTTCTAGCTAAAAACTTAACATTACTTATAACTTCCATGCCAAAATCATTATTACTTGACCTGATCATCTGAGAGTATATCAGTAACGACTTACAAAGAGAATGTAAAATGCATATATGTAGTGTTTTTAAAAATTACCTTGACCATGCAGTTGTTGATAGAATTTTTATGGTGTATAAGATAGGCCACTTAATGTGTAACTATTATCATTTAAGAAATATCCTTGCTTCTTAAAGTATTATGAAATGTAGGCTAGTAATAAAATTAAAGTTTTCACTTCCTAGGTGTCTATCAAATAATTATTACAAAATTGTATTGTGTGGCTTGGCTTAGTGCTTTTTGACAGGCTGCCATCATCTTGTTTTATTAAACTAAAAGATAGTATATTATTTGGCATTAGAATTATAATCTGATGTAATATTTTCCTGCCTCAACTACCCCCTGTCATTCCAGAAAGTAATTAGCTCATCCAGATATGGATGGGCCAGACTTGTTGGGTCGTCTGTTTTTTGCCATTATTCTCAACAGACTCCAGATAATTCTAATTTACTTATCCGCAGTGGAGAACGACTAAAAAGCACCATGCTGAAGTAAAAGGGAGGTTGCTGGGGGGTAGGATGAGCGACACATGCCCACTTACTACTGAAATCCACTAATGCCTCTCAGGTATTGGAGATTGTCTCTTTTTCTCTATACCATTCTCTGTGTTACTTAGAGAGTTTCCACAGTATGGTGACCTGTCTTACATATGAAAAGCAAATGGCTTACTTTGCGTTGTATGATTTCGAGTATTTAAAATGAAGTCTTTAGCATGTGGGTTTTGTTCGTTCACTTCACTTCAAATAAGGAATAAATAGTTAGCCTTTCATGAGGTTGTTATTTCAGAGTAGTTACATTGTCTGCGTATCCCGATTAATAGAATAGAGAGTGTCAATAGAAAGACTGGAAAAATATCAGCTAACCCTTCCTTCCACCTTTACCACAGAAGGTTTCTTTTTCTGTGAAAGTGCAATATCATGGTGAAACACTGTTGCACATTTGTAACTTTGTGCAAATCATTTACCCTCTCTACATCTTGATTTCTCAGCTATAAAAATGGAATAGGAATGGCTGTCTTGCAGAATGTGGGGGAAGAAGTGCTCATGCGTGGTTGTGTATGCTATTATAAATATTATATTGCTAGTTATCTTATACTCAATCCAATTTGCCCTGTAGTCATAAGTCAGTACAAATTTAGAGGAAATGAAGCCAGGCCTCCATGTTGGCATCAAGCAAGTATACAAGAAAACATGATCCTCTGATACAAGATTTATAGCTGAGAGCTCCAGAAGCCCCATGCAGCCACTTTGAACCCACAGTATCTGCAGAGAACTACATTACAGAATCAGAGGCCTGAAGCCTTGGCCTGAAGATATTGCTGGATTTTTTTTTATTTGGGGTATGGGACATTTTTATTTTTAATCAGTCATATAAAATGCTAGTATAAAGGGGATAATGATAATATTAATACTAGTAATCGCAGTTACCATTTCTCTGCCAGGCATTGTTTTAAATACTGTACATACATTTTCTCATTTACCAATACAATAAACTCATGATATAAGCAGCACTATTCCCATTTTACAGATGAGTACACTGAGGTTAAAATAAGTTAATAGTTCAAGAATATATATAGCTCAGTCATGATAAAATTGGGATTTAGTCTTAGCATATTGTCCTCAATTCCCAATTATACAATTATACAATTGGATAACCTTATACAATTAGCAGAATTTTGAGGGTACCATTTGTA